CATAAATTGGTAGCTGGAAGGAAGTTGCCACTGCTCCAAATACTGCTGTTGTCTCATAGAGCAGTAACTGGGAATAACACAGAAATGAGGAACTCTTTAATTCTTCTTCAGTGAGACAAAGGTGACAGATAAGACATCGCCTTGGTGAAGAGCTGTGCTGGCTATGGATAATTTTCATCATCTCTGAACCATTTGCATTTTCCTTCTGCGTGAAGGGCTACACAGCCCTTCCAATAGAAGAGATGGTAGGATTTCTTCATAATCTGCTCCAAATCAACTAGACTAATTCAGTCTGCTGATACAGATGCCTTCAGATAGCCTCACTGTTATATATCCAGATGGACTAAGAGTGCTAACAGAATTTCTTTTGCTTAGAAAACTGTGACAACCGATGGACCTTGGCCAGTACRGGGAGATGTGCAACAGCAGAGATAACTTTAACCGCTCAGATCTAGAGGAAAATGTCTAAACAGAGCTTGGTAACCCCAAATATACTTCTGTATGAGTATGACTAGGGATAGTCTGACTAGGAGATGATGGACAACTCCATCTTAGAAAGCTTTGAGTTGCAGATAAAGACTTGTGATTCTGAAATACAGTATCTTGTGTGCTTTGTGCTGTTGATCTGTATTGTGCAAAGGAATGTTTTCAGAAATTGCTAACCAGAGCRAAGAGGACTGGAATTATCAGCAAAGGATATTGTGTTGGCCTAGATTTTTTTAAAATGACAAATCAACACATTTTTCTCTGATGTTTTAATGTTTCAGGATCAGACCTTTCTTCCTGCATCTGAGCTAAATTTAGAATTTATTTTGATGGTGGATAATTTTCAGGTCACAAGAAGAGTCTCTATCCATTTTACACTGTTTTATTCTTCTTTATACTACGAAGTACTTCACAAAAATACTGCTGTTTGCTTTGTACAAGACCTGGTTTGTTATGAACTCCAATGTAATTTGGAGCTTCTTTTTGCTTTGGGGTCTTTGTTGTGAATTGTGTGAGTTGTGAATTACGTGAGTTTTATGTGCGCGTGCACACACACACACACACACACACACACACATATTGCCTTTTCTTATAACAGGGTGCAGCTGGACCAGCAGGACCCCCAGGTCTAAGAGGCTTGCCAGGAAACGTGGTATGTGTGCAGCAGTGTATTTATTTTCCCATCTGTGCCCTGATTTTTTTGTTTAGTGAGTTCACTTTTTCATTCCCCAGAGTGTACTATCAAGTTCAAAAGTCTGTGTTTTACTTTTTTTTTTTTTTTTTTTTTTTTTGTAATTACATTGAAAGACCTGGAGGAGTCTGGAAATGACATATCCATGCAACTTCTTTCCATATTCGTTTGTAGCAAGGGGAAGCATGGAGTTGTTTCATTCTCCATCAATTTTTGCAGAACATTGTTTGCTGCCAGTTCTTCCAGGGGAAAAAAAAATAATAATAGAAAAAAAGCAGTGTTTATTGTGTCTCTGTTTTGTTTTCCCGAGCCTCATTTCCATTTGTCCTTCCTTTTGTAAACATGACTTCTTAATGAAAAAATTGGACACTTGACTCCYATTTCTATAATGAGAGCATGTAAATACTTGATCCTATGATGAGAACCTGGAAATCAATATAGTGACCCTCTTGAATAGGTAGAGGTTTRTCAACATCATTAAATTGTACATGATGGAGCTGGGCTGCATAGAAATCTTTCTCCAAATCCAGCTCCATGCTCCATCAGTGCAATTTTTGCTGTAGTGCTTGGGGYTCTTCTGGATTTACACTGGAATAAGTGGAAAGCAGCAACTAGATGCAGTGTTGCAATGTTTACAGATACACTGGTGTAGCTCAGTGCTCTCTAGGACAGAGCTTGTCAGCTGGGCAATTCAAGAACTCTTGAATTAGCTTTCTACTAATTGATCTTCTGCATTTGATTTGACTGTGTKAATGCATTGATTTATTTTCAAACTGGAGATTGATATGTAAAGCGAAGACCTTTTTCCATTTTAYGCTCCTTTATTCTAACATCTGAGTCTGCCCTTGGTATATTTGTGTCTATGAAAACTAGCATATTTGGGTATAATTTTTATGGGCTCATAAAATAAAGTAATTACTGCATCAATTCTGTGAGGAGATCAATCCAGTCTTGCWGAACTCAAGTCAATGTGAAGTTATGATTTTGCATCATTTTAATATGGAGAACCATTCAGTAAAACTATGCTCCCTTCTAGTGATTTATGAAGTTATGGTATTTGGAGCTAAATCACCTCTGTTTTGACAAGCAATCCTTTCAGATCTGCCTCAGCATGAAGACGATTGAAAATTAAAATAGATGGTAAAATAAATATAGCTAAGTTTTCCATTGTATGGATTTGGAGAACATTAGACATAGAAAAAATAAGTCWTGTGAGACATTTGGCTTTCCTGATACAGAAGCAATGATTTAGGGTTTTCTTGTAATGTAACAGGAACTGCTGAGTATTTCACAGAAGAAAAAAATAGTTGATAAAAKGAGAATGAACAAATCGGGGATTAACTCACTTTTTGCTTTAGCTACTCATTTTTTTTCTACTTTGAAAAAAGTAACTCCTTTACGTACTTGGTGCACAGTTCGTCAGTGCTCTTTTCTGGATTACAGGTTATCTGAACTGGGAAAGGTAAAACTGATACTAATCCGTGAGATATACTCTACTAACCACATTGATCAATCCATAACTACTGCTAAAAAGAAAATTTTAAACTTCAAAGCACTTTTCTCTCCAGGGAGCACCTGGAGACCCTGGACTTCCAGGAAAGGATGGAGAAAAGGGGGAAAAGGTGAGGGTTTTTCTTTTTTTTTTTTTTTTTTTTTTTTTTTTTTTTTTTTGGTTTTTTTTTTTTTTTCTTAATTTGGCCATATAAAAGTGTCATTTAAATAATCTGTAACAGAAGCAGTCTGAATGTGAAGTTCCATCTCCGTGTGAGGAGCAACTTCTTTACTGTTAGGGTGACAGAGCCCTGGAACAGGCTGCCCAGGAAGGTTGTGGAGTCTCCTTCTCTGGAGGTCTTCCAAACCCGCCTGGATGCCACCCTGTGCCACATGCTGTAGGTGTGCCTGCTGGAGCGGGGAGGTTGGACTAGATGATCTCCAGAGGTCCCTTCCAACCTTGAATATTCTGTGATTCTGTGATTTAGTAGGTTCATAGACCTCTAGAAGACAACGGCTCATTAGATCACCTTGTCTGGCCTTCTTCTTTNAGGCTGCTCAGGGAGGTTGTGGAGTCTCCTTCTCTGGAGGTCTTCAAAACCCACCTGGATGCCACCCTGTGCCACATGCTGTAGGTGTGCCTGCTGGAGCGGGGAGGTTGGACTAGATGGTCTCCAGAGGTCCCTTTCAACCTTGAATATTCTGTGATTCTGTGATTTAGTAGGTTCATAGACCTCTAGAAGACAACGGCTCATTAGATCACCTTGTCTGGCCTTCTTCATTACACATGTTATAAGGATTTCTCCTTGTTATACCTTTCTAATTTTCCTAGTAAAATCACTTAGATAGTGATTTTACTGGATGCAGTGAAGACAGTGTAACACCTTTACGCAATGATGATGATCTGCTGTCACCACCTGATCAGAGTGAGGATTTTGTGATTTGTGGACCTTCTGAGATGCCACTTTATCACTGTAAATCAAAAACAGTAAGGAAAACTGGCTTTCATTGGTTATAAAACAGATTTCTGTTCTCCTGATAAGCAATTGTAATTGTACCCTTAGCTCAGCTTTCTTGTTTTCCTTTATCTGATTTGCCAAACTGTTACGTACCATCTCATAGCTAGACAGTGAGCTTTCTGCAGTCAGGGATTTGCAATTTGTTATTACTTTACACAGTACCCAGCACTCTGGAGCACTGATCTTTGGTTGCTGGAGTATAAGTATAAATGATTAATGAGAAACACAGCACCATATATGACAGATACATGTTCAGGATGGGAATGCTTCCCAGCCCCTYCTGTCAAATAGTGTTATCTATTACCAAGATCCACTTGAGTCCTTGACCCCGTTATAAACTATATACTCTCCCAAAACCTCTTACGAGTCCCTGAGCTTGAACCGGCAAGAATGTGTTGGAGCAGAAAGTACTGTTAAGGACACCTTTCTGATAATGTTCCAGCATTCRCTTTGTTCTTCCTTCTTCTGACATCTTAGCCTTTTGACTTAAAATCCTCATCTGAATATAAATACTTTAGGGTCATGTCTGAATCAAAGTTTTTCTCATACAATTGTTTCTCGGTGTATTTTGTTGCAGTATTTCCCCCCCTTTTTTTTTAAAAAAAAAAAAAAAAACAAAACAAAACTGCCTTTAGATTACTTAAGGAAAAGTTTTCCCTTAACAGAGAACTTCCTATGATACCAGTAAAAAATCAGATAAGCAGGCTGGAGGGGAAAAAAAAAAAAAAAAACATAGTTTTTACTTTCTATGGATGTTCTATATATGTAATGTATATATGTAATGGTGTTTTTAGTGTTAATAACAGGTCTAGTGGATTGTCTTCTCTAGGGTGATCCAGGAACAGAAGGAAAACCAGGTGTACCTGGCCCAGCTGGTCAGCCAGGGCCTGCTGGAGAACCTGGTTTACCTGGCAAGGGTAAAGATGGACAACAGGTAAATTGCTGGCAAGTTCTGTACTTGAGAGGGAACAGGTTTGATGCTAGCTGGACACACATGACTTCTGCAAGGGAATAATAAATTTTTGATGTAGATTTATGTTGAATTGTTGCAAGTTCTTGTAAACTGAAGACATCAAAGTCTAACTTGCTTCAAAATGCTGCGGACCCTACTGTTTCATCTAAAGGGAGAAAGAGCTGGTGCTGCATTTCTGAATGTTAAACCATGTTGGCCATCAAGAAAGGAGACATTCCTCAGGGGCTAACCATCACTGATATGTAGGTCCTTGTGACCAATATAAAAATGCGTAGCATGCAAAAAAATCCCTAAAAACATTTAATTCTAGTCTTACTAAGAGGTTATTTATTTAATTTCCTTACAAGTCGTCAGTAAAATATTGTCAGGACAGAGTCAAGTGATACAAACTCCTTTGACTCTCTCAAAAGGTAGGCTCCTATTTGGCTGTGTTTTGGCTCTTTTCTGGTTTTGACTTTGTCATTCTAGGGAGAAAGAGGGCCACCAGGCTTGCCAGGACCCTTTGGACATAAGGTGAGCACTGAATTTATTGTGAAATGCTTCCCTGCATTATTGGAATGAGAGGAAAAGTTATGACAAAAGATTGGTCTATTTTTCACTTTTACTCAAAAAATATCCTTGTCTTTTAGAGAAGGGGAGGAGGTTCATTTTTTTGCTTTTCSAGTACCCCTGTACATGCACATATCAGGATATGAGTTAACCGTGCTTGCTTCTCACATTATTTTCTTTTCCAGCTTTATGTGAATTCATCACTAAGACTAACAGCAAAATGATGCATGATTTTTTAAAGCAAACAGTCCCTCATGACCTTTAATCTGTGCAACAAGAGAGACATTGACATAGCTTAAAGGATGAACAACACTTGAGACCACCTGTCAGTACTTTTAAGAGCACTTCTCTGTACCATTTGTTTCCTTCACTTGTCTCAAGAAGAAAATCTATTATTTCTCATAGGACTGATGTGCTCTCCTATATTGTAGCTAAGGAAAAGACTGGCTAGTTGATTAAAGATAACAGCACTAATTTGTTCAATTGAAATTAATATTTATTCCTTTAAAAGTGCATAGCAAGTAGAGAAGGAAATAAAAAGAAAAAAACAAAAATGCTTGTTCCGGGAGCATCTGGGTTTTGTTTGAGTCTTTAAACAGATATGACAAAAAATCTTTAATTAAAATGACTGTTTGGATAAGTGGGGTGTTCAAACAGACTATGTAAAATGATGTAAGTGGGGTTATAGCAGTCTAAAAAGAGTTCCGTCTAAGTCTCATGATTTTGAAATAGTCAAGCTGCTCTGAAATGTTTCCGTTTGTTTTGCTGCATTCTATATAAATGCATTTTACTCTGCATATATCTTTTACAGCTCAGAACACAGGTATAATAATAATGTAAGCACTAATACAAAAATTTTAAAAAAAGCAATGAAAGTAACATAATGAAATATGCTATTCAATATCAAGGTGAGATTCTAGGAATTTTAGCTACGCATGGAAAAATATTATTGAGCTTTTGGTACTGAAATTATGTTCAAGAACAAAATAATAAATAAGGAAYAGGCCAGAGTCTTTTAACTAATCAAAAGATATTTGCTGTAACTGAAGTGTTATTTATTTATAAACAGAACTTAGTGTAAGAAGAAACAAAGTAAAAAAAGAAGGAATGAGAAGGGAAAAAGAGTAGGACATATTGTACACAGACTTTTGKGCAGGCAGAATCCATGGGTAACAATTCCTAGAGTAACAGCTGGAAATAGTATAATAATAAATAACATAAATAAGGTCCAAGACTGCTGCCAACATGAGACTGAATCTCACAACTGCAATACAATCAATAAAATCTTATTTGATATTTCTCCCTACAACAAGAGAACAGACATTAAATTTAAGTACTGTAGCTCAACACATTCTTTTTCCTTCCTATCCTTCTGTCTGTAATTGCCATTTAATGGTGTCAAATAGTTGTTTGTACCTTGCAATTTTTGCTACTAATAACTCAGTCTTCTAAAAGTGAGGTCTCTCCGTTTGTGGTATAGTCTGTTATTCCTGGGTTATTTGTAAATAATAATAATAGAAGGATTAATACCCTGCTGTGCGCAGACCTATCCTGGTAAAGGGAAGAAGGGCAAGATGTAACCTAACATTTCCAATCCTATCTTCTTCTGATAAATATTCTGTATTTGGCTCTATTTGCTACCAACCACAGAAATGTAGAGAGAGGAAAGCTGTAACCGTTAATATTTTCTCAAACCATGAGCAAGGCCAAGTAGCCTGCAGGCAATTCGTAAGTTTGATGTTMTGAGCTCAGCAAAAGGTGCACTGCTGGATGCTGTGCTTGACCTAACTGTCGAGGCTGCGTTCCCACAGTGCTGTATGATGTGGTGTACATCGTAACTGTGTAAATGCTGAGGCTCCAGGTGTAGGAGGGAGGCAGATTTTGTGGCATGGTCCCACATCTCTGCATTGTCTGAACCTGATACAGCTTAGAGGAGCGGGTTTGTGCCAGATGTGTCTGTGTTACACTTCACCGTAAATCCTTATTGCCTTGCAATATCATTTTTTTTTCCYTCAACCATGCACAAAACATGTCTGCTGTTTAATTTCTTCCTTTTATTTCAGGGTGAAAGAGGAGCTCCTGGCCTCCCTGGGCAGCCAGGAGATAGAGGTGTACCAGGAATCGGGTTGGCTGGACCCCCTGTAAGTAGCAGCCTGTGACGAGACAAAAAACTGGCTGTTGCCAACTGGCTCCTTGTGCTCAGCTATGTCGAGAACCTAAGGGACATTTTACCCATTTGCACTGAAGGTACAAATTACAAACTGTCCCAGAGGTGGCCATTCATGGCTCAGATGTCTACACATTTTGTGAGGGTTCCTGATGCGTTTTTTTTTCAGTTGGAAGAGAAAGGCAAGTGCTATCAGAGTGACTGATATCATTCAGTGGTTCTTCTGATTTTCTGCAGCATCTTGGCAGGTTGGCTGTGGATGTGATCTGAGATCTATGCTGAGCCACAAGGGTTGAGCTAATGGGGACATTTAACCTTGCTCTCACTCCTTTAGAAGGGATGGATGTGACATACATGTCCACATCAGTGACCCAGTCAGTGCTCTGTTAAAAACAAAACTAGGTTGATTGAATGTTTGGATGTTCATGTCATCAAGATGAGACTCTTCTACTGTCATAATGATGCCTCTTGGCATTATGGAGATTTAGGTGTGCTTCCAAATGTGCATTGTATGTGCAAGCAAACATGTTCAGGAGGAAGCAAACTTCAGTCCTAGCTGTAATTGCTGGAGGACACCAGAGTCTTTTGCAATACTTTGTACACCCCCTGGTGTTATACTTATGTCAGAACAGTAAAGGCAGTCTCCCAGACAACGTTTCTGTGCAATGGTTATCTATATACAATAGTTTCCCAGTTAGCTTGAAATGGTGCATCAGAGTGCTGTACGATACRGGTTGGTAAGTTCTAACTTCATTCTGCCCCTGAACTTAATACTGGCTTTTTCAAAACTATTTAAACACCACCACAGAGGTGTGAGGTCCGACTTGTTTTGGTATGTTTGGATACCACTTTGATTCATCCGTGCCTGATATGAGTAACACGTGACTTTTATGGTATTGCTACAGAACTTGCATGCCTTCTTGTCAGTTCAGTGTACTCAGTTGTACCTTTTTAAGTTGCATCCCCAAATGAATAGCAGGCACAAGCCCACTGAACTCTATGCTTTGACCTTATTTGAAGAATTTTCAGATCCTGTGGGATGTTTTTCCTTGTGTTAGAGGTGGATGRAAACAGTTTGCTTCAGAACCCAGAAGGGTTGTCACATCCCAGCCCAAGGGCTGCAGTTCTACATCCCCAGGTCCATCTTGGAGTGAGGCTAAGCACGTATTCCCAACAGGGACACACACTTGGTGCACACAGACATGCACATGCAGCCACGCACGTTAGACCTGAGCTGGAGGAGAAGAGCAGGATGAGTGCCTTTATCAACACCCATACAAAACTAACCAGTGATGGAAACATGAGTGAGAATGGCTTGATGCCACTCTTTTCCTCTGACTGATGAGCAGTGAAGCAGTTGACTGGAGCAGTCGCTCACTGCGCTTTCTTTTCTTGTTATAGTCTGAGCTTCGACATTTCCTTTATCTTTTTCGTTCTTTTTTTTTGTTTGTTTATTTTGTTTTGTTTTTCCATTTAATCTGTCTAGTGTTTTCATCCATCAATCTCAGGTGAGCGTCCTGTGAAATTTGCTCCTTTTCATGACCTTTCCCTCTCTACTTTTTCATATCTCTGTGCTTTGGAATGAGCTCTGGTCCCAGCCATGTGGGATATTAATGTTGATTTCTGCTGCTGTTTTGATTGCTGTGTCTTCTGTTCCTTCACAGGGCCCTGTAGGACCCCCAGGAGACAAAGGGTCATTGGTACAGTATGTCTTTCTAACTACACACAGATTTTATGGGGAGGGGGCAAGCTAATTATTTTTGTTGGTTTGTTTTTATTTCCTGTCCATGATTTTGTAAATGCATGTTTAATTTGTTTCTTTTTGCCTAAGAATGGCATTGTCACAGAGTATAGGATGACCATCCAAAGATGTCCCTGATCTTATCACTTTTATATTGTCAACTACCATTCTGCTCTAGTGGTTTGTAAGATAGGATTGATKCAGGCTCTTGGTGAAGTGACAGGTTTTCTTTATCTGTCAATGCAAGCTCAAAGCTGGAAACAATGTATTACTGATTTAAACATTCCTTCATAAAATGTATTTTGAGGCATATAATTATGCTGTTATGTCTTGTAATTGATGGAGGCTGCTCAAAGATTTAAAGCCATGTGTTTTTAAGCATTTTGCATGCTTAAGTCTTACAGAAACCCTGTTTTTGAGTATTGATAGAACACACCTAGTTCACAAATCTGTAACTTTAAAAAGGATTCAGTCCRTGAGTATGGAAGAAGTAACTGGATACTATGATCTTCCTAACCCCTAGCATGAAATTCAGGCACTGTAGCCCATTTCGGTACGTACTAGCTCAGTACTGAAGGAGTGACCTTTTTTTTCTCCTCTCTTGCCCTGTGGTCAATCATATTTTCTCCTTGTTCATAAACCTACCTGCCTATAATGAAAATTCATTATTGTTTTTCCAAGGAAAGAATGTAAAGCTTCATTTTAGTGATTCATATAAAGTCCTTTGAGGTACAGAAGTGGCTGATAATTGTAGTAGCACAGTATGGGATCTTTTATTTATTTTTTCCTTAAACTTGCTGTGACTGTAGTTGTTGCTAACAGTCATTTGATACCTGCTGTTCATTTTTTCTGGATCTGTTTCTTTCCCTACCAGGGTCTGCGAGGTGTACCTGGTATCCCTGGGCCACAGGGGCCTCCTGGTCATGATGTGAGTAAAATAAAAGCTTAAGAGTGCTCAAATCTGACTTTTGTAAAAATCATGCTTGTACTGTCATTGAGTGTTAATGGGATGATCCAAGAGAGATGGCTCACAGAAATGGAGCTGAGAACACGTGAGAACACGTTGAGCAGGACATCAGGGGAAAGAAAAAAGTAATTAGAGTGAAGAATAACCTTAAGGCATGTGTTGGAAGCTTTATCAGTGAGCCATTTAAAAGTGACACTAGAGAGGGAACTTGGCAGTTAACACTGGGGAGTGATCCCGCACAGCGAATGTATGATCATTAAGCTGTTCAGGAAATTCTAACAAACAGCTGAAATAAGTAATCTGTAATAATTCTATGAAATAGATCTGGAGCCATTAAAAAGCTTTTTTTTTTTATGTGTGAGCTAATTTTGCTGACGATGCTGTACATGGGAGATCACGTTTTAACCTTGTCTCAGCATGTTCCTCTAACTCCTGCCATCTCAGCGGGTGAGTCATGGTGCTGAGGAACAGAGGAAAACGTGACAAGCACCCAGTTGGAAAGCTGACCCCTATCACTGCCCAACTTTGGCACAGTGTTCAGTTAGGACGGGAAGAGGAGATTTCTCCTCTGCTGATCATAAGCTCAATGATGAGCTATTCCCACAAACCAGTTGTGGGAGAAGACTCCCCAGGAGCGACTCAGAAGATTTTGAAAGGCTGGATCTTGGTGTTTGTGCTTGTGAGTGCTGTGACATGAAGGGATATTACAGTGCCTTCTTGGTGCTGCTTTGTGATGTTTTGATGCCCAAAATGGGTACCACTTATGAAGTCCAAAGGTTTTTCATCTCTAGTGCAGCTTCACTGAAGTACATCAGTTGGCCTAAAGGATGATCCTTAGTTTAGTATGGACTTCCCTTAGCATATGGAGAGGATCTTTTCTATGTTCCTGCTCTTCTCCTAAGACACAATCCTTATGGCAYTGGTATTCCTGCACACCCCATCGTGGAAGAAAATATCTGTTTTCTCCATTACCCCTTGTCCCTGAGCAACCTTTCCTGACTTCTCGTGCAGTTTTCTGCCTTAACTCAGATATTTGAGTTCTTCTAGCCAAGAGGTCATAAWCAGGAGATAGAATAGAGGGGTTTATTAAAAGTGTGTTGTGTGAAGAATCTGACTTTTCTGATTTTCCTGTCTCTGCTCAGATCAACATTCACTGGTCAGCTTTTGGAAAGGTGGTATCATTGTCCTTAAATCTTTACTTTCCCACACAGAAAGTTACTCTACCGTATTATGATACTTACAAAACACATCCTATTACACAAACTGTTTTGACTGTACTACATATGTCTTTTAAAAGCTCTCTTTATTCTGGGCAGTTATCTGAGAAGTGATTCTACCTGTGTTTCAGGTTATGTAAATATAACTACATATACTTCAGGGCATATTTTAATGTTTCTTGATCTCAGCAGAGATATCTATTTTGACAAGATCATGCATTTTCAGTTTTTTGATCTCCACTTTTGTTTATGATGAGTACAAAGTATTTTGGGTTTTTCTTTTGCAGTCTTCTATGTCTGTGTAGCAATCGAGTGCTCTTTGAATCATACCCACTTTTGCACCCTGTTGTGTTTAAAYAGTGTGTTTCATCAGTTAGAGAAAGCTGATTTGAAATGGTAATATCACCTTGCAATGTAATTCCCAAACCACTCAGTAACAGTAGCCTTAGTGATTTTCCTTAATGTCTTGTCTTTTGCTGTGGCCTTTGCTACTGCATTCCATGTTTTTTTCTCAGACTACATATTTTTTTAAGTCATATTTACATACAACGGGTCACTACATTATTTTTCCCAATTGCACATTCATCAGATGCTCTTGAAAGTGTGTGTAGCATAAGCTGTCATTTTCCCTGATGGTGTCAAATCAGAGTTGTAGCTACATTTACAGAGATGAGATATTAAATACTTGAATTTGACCAAAGTAATTTCCCATTAGTGAACAGGCTAGCTTTTACATGCATGCATCCCAACCTCTTTCTGTTGCCCTGGAAGCAGCATGTGCCATGATTTTTTTTTTTCCAGTAGTGTGAGGTCACCTTTTGAAACATCTATTCGTAGTTTGATCAAATGTCAAAGACTCAGGATAGAACCTTGTTTTATTAAACTTYAGATTTTGAAATTCTTTTCTCAGGTTCGCAGTACAGTTGTGCATGTTTGGCTTTGTTCTAGCAAGAGGTGTTTTTTTATTTATTTGTTTGAACTGCCCCACAAAGTTCATTATATCTGTCACTTGCTAGAGACTGTCTTCTTCTGGGGCAAAACAAGAACTGGACTTGTTACTGCTTTTTTCTTTATTGTTCTTCTCCCATTTGCAATATGTCTGTAAATTTGCATATTGTCTAATTAGCTGAAGTCCCACTTTCTAAAGCTTAACAGATGCCTTCARTGGGCTTTTGTATGGTCTTTCTGCTGTTTTTCTTCGTAGCAAGTCTACTTTGCTCCACAACTGGACTATTATATATCATTTCTACTTCCATGCCCTCAGTTCCTTCAACTATTTATTGAACTTTCCTGTGGGGGGAAAAAAATCAAAACTCATTTTAAGATGGCAATATTTCTTGTATTGAGTATTAAAAAAGTGTAGCCTTTAGTGCTTTCTTTGGAGAAATTGCCCAGATCTGTGTCATGCCCTGAGAGCTGCAAAAAATAATTCAATGTATTTCTCTGGAAGCATCCACACTCCTCTCCTTGTYTGCAGGAGGATAAAATGCTTCCAAATGCCTACCTAGTTTCCTTAAATTAAAATACAGTCTGGCTAAGATATTCTCTTGTCCTACTATTATGTAATAGGATCTTTCTGTTTTTTGATTATGCTAAACATAATTAATATAAACATTGACTTAATTATTTTAAAAATTAAGCTAATTATTTCTGGTAATTAAGTTTTAGTATTCCTGGAAAGGTAATCTCCTCCTGCATTTATTTTTATAATTGTGAAACCTTAGTGGCTACATGCATTAGTACCTTTGGATCTGAAAGGTAGAGTTTTCTGTTCCATTGTGAGTTTATTCATCTAGTTAAAAAGTCAGAACCGGTGATCCTTTGTGTTTGCTTTAAAGTCCATACACCACAAATCAAAGCACACTTATCAAACCTCCTGCTGGCTTTTTATTCCTACAAACTATAAGCCGCTTAAGCTATTGCATTTTTTCTTTAATTGCCAGTCTTTTAATAGTACCTCGCTTTTGTAAGTCTTCGGTTTTATTGCCCTATGTTACTGGTTTCTTTATAAGCATTTTCTTTTATTTTCAAATCCGTCATTTATCTGAGCACTGCCATGTGATTTCCATCAGTGTCCAGGCTGAGGCCATTCCTGTGTGTCAGATTTTGCAGGCACATTGCATATTCTGGATACAGTGCATCCTACCTCTTCATCTCTAACTGCTTTTCCCCACACTGATACACTGCAACAGTCTTCCTTTTTGATGTTCTGCTTTATCTCAGCTCCTGTTGGCTATAAAACTCAAATGCGTTTCAGGAGTTTATGAGGTTTCCAAATGATGATCATTAGTTTGGTCTGTGAATCAACAGCTCTTCTCTCCAATGCCATGCAGTTTTTAGTGCACAGGCTTTATTTATTTATTTTTTTCTTTCTCTGGCTTTCTCCATTTCCCTCTCATGCTATTCAGCCTGCCAGATGCACTTATACCTTGCCTTCCTTCTAGCATTTTCGTTGTGCTCTGAGCGATGTTTGCAACCTGGCAATAGCTGAGAGCTTCTCTTTTATTATTATTTTTAATTCTGGGCCTCTATATTCCAGCAATCTCTCATCTACTTTGCACTCTATTTCCAATTGCTGCCTTCTCTCTGATAATGCAACATGCCAAAGTATTATCATTCCATACCTGATTTATTAAACTTGTATCAGACAAGAATTCCTCAAAGGATGTTTTCCTCCTGCAGTCTTGTACCTTTCAACTATTTGACTTTTCCAGGATACCCAATGATTCTCTGATTCATCAGACATGGTACTTAGCTTGATTTCTCAGCCTGGCTTATTTGCCTGTGTTAAAGACGCCTCCAGCTCCACAGCGTACAGCATTCATGCAAATAGCTCCATCTCCTCTTGTCTCAAGCAATTCTGTTGCCACACAGATGTCTGAGTTATACTTAAATCTTTCCCAGGATTTCAGTTTTCGTTGATATTGTTGTCTCCAATTCCTGTCCGTTAAGTTGAAGGCTTATTGTTCACTTAGAAGTATTCAAAGTGGGCATAGCAAGAAAACAATCAAAGTTTTTTTCAGATTTTCTCTCATGTGGCAGGAGGTGTGGAATGCAAGTTTGAAGTGAGACGCGAAGAAGAATTTCACATTTGTYCTGTATTTCTAATTGTGATATGACAGGTTTTCAGAACTGTGCCTACAGACACACTCAGTGTGCTTAAGTCATTAATTCTCTGTGTGGCCTAGAAACTCCCCATCTGGTTGTCTGAATAGATAACATGGGCCTCATGGGAGAGTGGGTATCAACTTCAGACAAGGTGATTGACAGAACTCTTAGCCTACTTCCCAACAGAGTATCTGACTAATTCTTACAGGTCGAAATTTTGGACAGTCTCAGAGTTTCCCCCGAGGAGACCTTGCTGAACTTAGTCTAATTTAGAGATGCTGTTTGTATGGTTCAGAGTATTGACTAGCATCCTGAGCAGAGCAATCTGGAGGCATCCCCAGCGGGTTCCTGCTCTATTATCCATCGGACTAAACACAGACAAGATGATAGAAATAAAATAAAATAAAATAAAATAAAATAAAATAAAATAAAATAAAATAAAATAAAATAAAATAAAATAAAATAAAATAAAATAAAATAAAATANAATAAAATCTTTCCACAGATATAAAAATGATCATGTAGAACCAGCTGGATATAAGGATTCAGCAGAGAGTTGTTGTGTGACTCTTTCTGTAGATAAGGAAGATTCAAAAGGGAACAATTAAGAAATAGCAAAGTAATGAGGCGGTCCCTTTTAATGATAACAGTATTTGAAGAAGTTGATTGCTGCATGCAAAGACTATGGAAATGATGCTCAGTGGCAGAAAACAGGAATGTGTGGTAGTCCAGAGCAGACAACAGTATGTGTGAGAGCAGTCAGGATAGTATTGTATAATGATCTCACAGATTTTTCTTTCTATTGTTCTGTAGGGTCTTCCTGGAAATCCGGGAGAAAGAGGACCTCCTGGAAAACCAGTATGTGGTTGTGGTTTCATTTCTCTATTACATCTTCAAATGCTATTTTTCAGCTGTGTTTCCATTATTCCTCTTATCTCAGTTCCTATCTGCACATCTCACCTCCGAATAGCAGTTCAGTGAACTTCCCCCACTGTTCTTCATGACAGAGCAGCTGGAAAAACAATAATACCTRTAAGGGGTTATGGTAAAAATGCCTGTGATACTTTCAGATCAGTATGAAAATAATTGAATACCCTTCATAAAACCTAACGCTTTAACAGCAGCTTCTTAGCACCACTCTGCAGTACTCTCTGCAAGAACTGTGTTTCCTGTATGTGAAAAGTTCAATTGATCTCAGATATGACATTGAGTATTTATGATGCAAGAGGGTTCAAAAAGTCTTGGGCAGTGGAAAAAAAATCAGCAATCCATAGGATATTTTCTGATACTTTGATGCCTTTTAATATTGCCTTGTATAACAATATTCTCATTCTACAGGGTTCCTCTCCCCTGCTCTCTCCAGAGGACATCAATCTCTTAGTGAAGGTAATCAACTTTAGAGAACGGCTGTGGATTTTACTTGTATGGTTGATTCAAACCTGACTAATGTATTCAAACCTGACCAAGACTTAAGTCTGTGGTGTGAAAGTGTCTAAGATACAAGTGCAAAGATACCTCTAAACAGTCTGCCAGAGGATGAAGCTTGCAGATCTCCTATTTGCACTACACTTGGCACATTGGAGCATGTACTGGAGATGAAATTGTAGAGCCCTCTGACAGTCCCCAAGGGTGGCACATCCTACACGGAYCTTTATAGCATGGTGTTTGATAAAAAAGCCCTGAGACTTTTTGAGCTCATTCTGAGTCAATTTTTGATGGCTGCTGACTATAAATCTACAGATATTTCAAAGGCTGAATTGGGAGATTTTTAAGCAGTCTTGGGACGTGGCAAGAACTTCCTTCTTATTGATTAAAAGAAACTACATAATTGCTTTTTTTAATCAATCCCATTGACAAAGGAAGCATTTTAGGGTTGCTACAGTTGCTACATCATGCAGAGATGCCTTTCTCAAGGAGTCAAGTATTATTCCAACGATTATTGTATTGTTTGTGATTTCTGATTTGCACTGTATTAAAACACCAGTTTTTGAGTGAGGGTGTTGGTTTGATGTCCAATCTTCCTTTGTTTATAAAATTACATTCATATACTCTTATTTTTTTAATTATTTTTTATTCCACACTATTCYACACCGCTCTGTCCACACTTTGAGTCTAAGTGAAGCTAGGGTTCTGTTGCTCTGGATGTCTTATAAGCATGTTATAAAGCAGCAACTCTACCCTGAAGAATATATATTGTAAATATATAAAGATGCTCAGAAAGATAGTTCTCTCTGTTTTAAAATGGAATATTGCAGAGCTGGAASTTCAATCAAGATCTCTGAACAACAGAATGACAGAATAGTTAAGKTTGGAAGGGACCTCTASMGAYCATCTAGTCTAAMCTTCCTGCTCAAGCAGGGACACCCAGAGCATGTGTCACAGCGTGACATCCAAGCGGGTTTTGAAGACCTCCAGAGAAGGAGACTCCACAACCTCCCTGGGCAGCCTGTTCCAGGGCTCTGTCACCCTCACAGGAAAGAAGTTCTTCCACATATGGAGATGGAACTGCCTGTGTTATACCCATTACCCCTTGTTCTGTCACTGGCCACCACTGAGAACAGTTTGGCCCCTTCCTCCCTACATTCCCCCTACATATACTTAGACATATTAGTCAGATCCCCTCTCAGTATTCTCTTCTCCAGAGAAAACAGGCCCAACTCATCTCTCTTCATACGAGAGATGTTCCATTTCCTTGATCATCTTGATTGCCCTCCACCAGACCCTTTCTAGGAGTTCCACGTCCCTCTTATACTGGGTAGCCCAGAACTGCACACAGTAATCCAGGTGCGAGTCTAGTCATCTGGAGATTGGGCTATTCTGTCCTTTGTAGGCAGGGTTCACTCCCATTGCTGAAGAGAGTCTGTCTTTGAAATAGAAATGTTATTTATTTATTTATTTTGAGATCAACAGAAATACAAAAATTAGTAAAGCAAGGCAATACTTCAACGAGTGTTTTAAAAAGGGAGGTTGTAATTCTCCATGACAGAATATGGTTAGGACGTTAAAACATTTGCTTTTCATAGTCTCCAAGCTCCCGTTGGCCATGCTAGTTGATGAAATAAGTTTCCTTTCCCAAATACCCTGTTGGACATTATGCCGTACCCAAGTATTCCCTAACAATTTGCCCTGTCTGCTATAACTAAAGTTTTTCACACAGTTGCAACAGTTTTCTGAAACTTCAAGCAGACTTGAAGCTACAGTAGCCRTGCATCTTTGAAACACATCTTTTCTTGGCTGTGTGATCTTCCCATTAGGAAGAACTTTTCCTTTGTTTCTTGATCCTGCATGATGACACAGGAGTTGTCTAATGTGTCTGGTAAGAAATTCCCTGGGAGTCTTTGAACTTAGAGGTCACCCTTGCTATGTTCCATGCTGCACTTCTGCAAGGCGAAGTAACCCACATGCCCCTCAGCGTGGTTGAAATGCAGAGGCCTATAGGCTGTGCTTCTATACTATATTCATTGTGGGGTCTGCAGGATTTGTAAGAGGCACTTCGTCTGTTGTTCATTTAGTTCTCAACGTTACTTTTCCCTCCTAGGATGTGTGCAGTGACTGTCCCCCTGGCCCGCCAGGACTACCCGGAATTCCAGGTTTCAAAGGTGATAAAGGTCTCCGAGGACCACCGGGTAGAGATGGCCAGGATGGCAAAATGGTAAGAGAGACAGAAAGTATTTATGCATTCTTACTTGTTTTTTCTTATATTTCTACATAGTTGCTTTCTTTTGTAACAGCCTAGTGCTGAATACTTCACAGATGACTGTGGGTCAGTGGGCTAAATATCAGCTTTTGGTAGAGTAGCTTTTGATAGTGTAAATATCCTGGCACACTTTTTCTGTACCAGAAGTTTTTCAATCATACTTCTCGTTCAGAAGGAACACCAGAAGTGTTYGAGGAAGAAGAGAGGATGGTGACTGAAGAGCAAGTGGAGTGCAGTCCTGAAAGCTTAGTGATCACTGTATGGATTTTCTGTTGGCTACAGGTGTGCCTGAGGGGAAGAGTTAGGAATGACTGCTGTTTTAATGGCACAATTTTTTCAGAGGACTTGAAAAGCGGGAAGGGGGTAAGGGTTCTTAATAAGTGACGCCCAGTGAAATGAGTCTCTTAAACTTTTTTTGTGGGGTGTAAGGACTGAGGGAGAGGAAAAGTGCTGAGTTTCTACTATCCAGAGATCCTTTATGATCCTTTATTATTCACATTCTTAACAGTCTCTTTTTTTTTTTTTTTTTCCCTTTTCTCTTCCTGTCCTTGATCCGTGTGGATATCTTTTCCTTTCTAAATTCATTTCTCAAGTGGATAAAAGTGAATGAAGAAGCCTGTGATGTAACTGAGTTTGGCCAGTCTATCCATGATGTGTTCTGTGCATTCTTACTCACACATTTTCCATGAATTGTAGTTATTGTGAGAAATATCCTCATTTTTTTCTCCTTTATCCTAGAATACTTAGATTTGGGCTTTAGTGGATTTTTAGGTACCTTAGTACTTTGGTACTAGGTTGACAATCTAGGTTGACAACTCTGTTATAAAAATACCATATTTTGGGAAGAGAAAACAGAAGGTAAGATAGGAAGTGAGGGATGCCACATCCCACTTGAACTGCAGGGTGGAATTTGGGAAAGGAAATACAGCAACTGCTGTTGTTCCAGGAAAGCCATCACTTCTGTAAAAATACATGAAGAGAATATTACTACTCCAGCTAATCAGGATCTTGATTTTATTGTACTGTGATGCTTCAGTATGTTCAGTTCAAGGTGCATTCAGAAGGGGGCAGTCTTYTAGACTGAATCCTTCCATGACACGCTACATATGGTTCTTCTCTAAATCTTTTGTTTCCAAATAACCAGGGCTGATGAAATACAAAAACAAAGATTTGTCCTAAGGGATAGCCTGTTTGGGAAAAACCCGCTGCATATTTAAGGATACATAATGTTGTGCTGATGAGCCTGTCTGATCCCATATAAGAAGAGGGATCAGACAGGCTCATATCCTACTAACACAGTGTGTGTTGGAGCATGAAGCAGTCTGTGATATCGAGCCCTTTTGACTCTATGGTTCTAGTTGTGAGGGATCATTGCTGACTTGCTCTCCATTTCTGATGAACAGGAAACTAGAATTTACCTCTACCTCTCTATATTACAGGGGATTGCTGGTCCCAGAGGTCCTGCAGGCCCACCTGGACTGGATGGTGCAAAGGTTGGTTGTTCTTTTCCCGTATTGCCTAACCAAGATGTTCTTGTGATTAATTAGCACATTGAAGAAGCAGGATCTTGGTGGCATCCATCCTTGTATAAAGGAATAGGACTTGCCTGTTAGCTAGACCCTGCACTTGTAATTTACTGGAGTGAAATTTTGTCACAGGTGCTTAGAACTGCACAGCTTCCCATATGGACGATGTTTCACTTAAATATAGTCTTTTCTCATACCATCTTGCTATTCACAAAAACCTTGATGAGCTTGATTCTTGCTGTTGAAAATGATTCCTTTGTTTTTGTTTTGTTAGTTTTTTGAAAGCTAAAGACTTTAGGGTAAGTTTCAATTCAAATCAGATGAGGAAGAAATTAAAGCCTCAGCAGTAGCAGCTCTTTATGCCTCCCTCCTTTTTGGATCCTGCATGCTTGAATCACTTTAAATTAAAGGTGATGCCGTGGGCTACTGGGTTCCAAACACCTGCCACAGTTTCTTTATCCACAGGCTCCAAATGTTCATTGAAACATGCTATAGGAAGAACAGCTCATTTCAACTGCATGCTCCTACCTCACAAACATCAAGTTTGCTATGTCTGAGGGATTTTAATAACATAACATTTCAAGCTTTTCCCATGAGTAACTCTGTCATCAGTCTGTTCAAAATGGCAGTTTTTCACAGTGAAAACTTTTACAACTGCCTAATGTGAAATAAATCAAAACAGATCAATGGAGGGAGAGATATAAGGTGTGTTCATCCAGGAGTACAGATAGTTTTCCTCCAGACTTGCATTCATTCTGACTTACTGTCTAAAACAGCATCTGCTATTTCAATATCCTTGTATTCGCACTTACTAGCGTGTTTAACAAAGTATTTCGGATTTAGAAATTAATTTTACACCTTGCAATTAAAAGTATGGGAGTCAGGGGAGAAGCAGAGTCTCAAAATTGAATATAAGTTGTGAATATTTTCAAATATTCACAAAATATTCACTCAAAAGTGAATATAAAATCAGTGTGTGCTCTGGGATAAAATTTGCAAAATAACTAGTAACCCATAGCTCCAATACCAGGTAGAAATTTCAGGCAGGATTTCTGAGATATACCTTGTCTTGTGATGCATTCTTATATGCTATGGAGAAGATGGAGAGTTGCATAGCAAGAATGAATATTTAACTTAAATAGCGTCACTTTTAAAGTGTACGTGTGAATAGTATTAAATAATAGGTTAGTTGTACTGAGTAAACTCTATTGAGTAAACAGATGAAATCACAATTTCAAATATTAAAAGCCCTTATTCTAAAACCTGTCAAGAGCTGCAGACACAACGACAGTACTCCTCTTTGATTATATATGTAGGATTCTAAGGGTGAAAGACCATTTTGAAAATGGTGTGTGGTCCAGAGCACTACCATAAAAACTGGTGTTAGGGGCCATTCTGAAATGTGTTGGTGGAACTGTAGATCCTTGCTCTAGCYGCATGAACAATTTCTTTCCTTCTGGTAAAATGAATTGTGCCTCTTTTATTTGGTAAATAGCATCTCTTCTTTCCTCGCTTGTCTCCGAGCTCTCCTGTAATGAACCAGAGTATCATTTCCATAGTCAGTGTTATGCATTAGTGTCCTGTGCCTTGTTCAGGCCATAATTTGTTCCCCATCATCTCGCTCTTTTTTTTTTTTTTTTTTTTTTTTTTTTTT